GAAAAATAACGCATTTTCAATTCTCAGCAGGCACATATTCCTTATGTTTTACTTGCGCACAGTAAATGTGTAAGTGGAAGTGGTGATTCTTAGGTTGGTGGAATATGCGAAGGTGCTCATATACAGTGATACAGTCTGTTACTGGAAAAAAAGGAAGCGCGTTTTCTGTCCTGTCCTGTTGATCTTTCTATGCGGTCATTCTTTTAAGTTTCAGTTTTTTGCTTCACTATATATCTGTGGAAAAAATTTTTTTAAAAGGCGTTTTATGTGTAGTTTTTGGAATAAAATGATCTGAAATCCCATAAGAACTAAACTTTTACAGGCGATTGTGTGAGCATTATCGTATTTCAAAGTTTACTGCAAAAATTGAATTTTTTCTGGTAACTTTTTTATATGCAAGTTTCACCTGTACCGCTTTATGTGTTTTTCAAAGATTCACTCATGACTGTACATTTGATACTTAATTTATAAAAGATTTCAAACCTCTTTTTTAGTTCTATAAGGCAGTGTCACAGATTTTTTGTAGTGTAATGTATATACATTAACTGAGCTTTCCAACTATACACTGCTGGATTCATCTTCACCACTGCCAACTTTCTGAGGTTTATGCCGGCACAGTAAGGGGCTAGTGAACCATTTTCAAAAAACAGCATAAAATTATGAGTGAAACGAGTAAAAATCTATTTAATACGTATATTAATACATTTTCGAGAACGCCTGCGCAGAAGATTTCTTGAATCGTTTGATGCGATGAGTTGATAAGGTTTATTAAGTTCCTTGTACGCTGCTTTGGTTACCTCTGTGTTTTTGGCGTATGAAAGGATGATTTGGAAATAGCAAACATCAAATTTCAGATTTTTGTGAGGGCAAATTCGAACGTAATAGATTTTGTAATGCTATGGTTTCAAACTGAATTGACACTCACTGAATAATACTTTATGGGGAGAGTAGTTCTATGAAGCTGTGTTTAGTTTCTTAGTGTAACTTTAGGTTCTTTGAGGAGAAGGAAGAGTTGGTAAGGTATGTCTGAAACAGCAGCAGCAGCTAAGATCAAGCGCTCATTGTGCAAAAAATGCCAGTCAATCATCTATAAAAAAGTCCAGGTTTTGGAGTCCAAGCCCTAAACTCCAATAGCATAATTTTACGTTAAAATTACCGTTGCCATTTTATTTCAGAGGTTTTACACATGCACTAATCTTAATAGATTTTGCAGCAACTTGACTCATGAATGAGCATCTTCGGAGTCCCTTTTGTGTCGGTAATGTCGATGAATTCAACAACGGTAATTTGGTATGCGTTCTTTTAAAAGCAAATTTGAATTGTCATTATAATTGTTTTGCATTTGTAATTCAATATGGTACATTGCATGCTTTCACTGATTTATACGAATTCACTTGGCCAGAAGAACTGGGAACGTAGTAGCGATGGAAATTAATTTATTCCTCTCTGTGTTTTACTAAAAAATACTGATTCTTTAGGAGCAAACTTGATATTACTGAATTATTCTAGAAATTCCAGTTTTTAAATGTCTCTTGTTCTCTATTTTTGTGCAGGTTGATCTTTCCAAACTAAATCCTGTGAGCGCTGATATCTTCACCCAAAGTGGCAAGGACCGTGCTTCGTTTCAAGGTAAAGTGAAGACACGAAGTTGTGGGATCTATTTTGAGTCGAGAAGTTTTTGATGTGATAGTTTTAAATCAAGTGCAGCCTGGAGCTGTTGCAATTCTTCAAGAAATATTTTAATTGTGATTCTCGATTTAAGTTCATTATGGGTAGCGCTGAAAGAGAATTGGTGAGGTGATCTTTTGAAGAAACTTAGCAGGATTTTCAAATGATTATGGCTTTTTCGAGTTTTTTTTTGTAAATTATGGGTTGTTGGTATATTTAAATCTCCTATTGTTTCAGAGCCTGAGGAACGTAGTGGCCATCGAATGCTTTGTGATAGAGATTATCTTTATGTAGTTGGAGGATTTTCTAATTCACCAACTGCTCACTTGTTCGAGGTTTGGTTGTTCATATATTGAAAATTTGTTATTTGCAGATAATTCTCTGCTCTAAAGCTGCTATTCTCCAAGAATTAAATTAAGTGCATTTGGTTTGAAAGATACAGATATTTGCATACATCTCCATCTATAAAAATAATTTAAGTTTCAGTCGGAGAGTGTTCTTCAAAGTCTTCTGTTAAAAGTATGAACTCAGTCTATTTTTGAAAACGTCTAATAAACAAATTTTTGTTTGGTTTAGAATTTGAGGCAACTTTTTTTTTAAGGAAATTTGGCGATTTAATCTCCTTTGTGACAAGTGGGAAAAAGTTGATATGAATTATGACGACTTTCCTCGCGAGATGGCCTCTTTTGCATGTGAATTATTCTTGTCTTCTCGTTGAAAAACACATCATGAATCCATTTTTAATAATTTTGGAAGTCACATTATTACTGGCAGTCGTGATTTCATGCTAACTCCTCCTTTAACTTTACTGACATTTTGCGAATAAAAGTGCTTTTTCATAATCTTTCACCGAGTGTTTTTAAAACGAATATTTTTGCTCTTCATTTTGAGTTTCAGTATGCTCAGATACACCTTCTGGGTCAAACTTTACTCGCGCTTACATGTTTGGCGGTACTTCATTTCCATTTGGAGATCAACCTTCAGATAGAGTACAAATACTGCGTCGCGTCCCTGACCGATCATTTCATTGGCAACAGTTAAACACAACTGGTCATACTCCTATACGGCAGTACGGATCGGTAAAGCTTTTGGACATTTATATGGTCGCTTATTTTTAGTAAGTTTAAATATTTGAAAGAGCGTATCTATTTATTTTTTGTATTATCCTCGAAAAAAAAGACCGTTAGAGAGTTTTGTTTTTTCAATAATCTTCATTGAAGAGCATCGTTTTTCACAGAGGAGTATTATATTTAATCGGTGGTACGACAGGTCATATATATAATAGTGAAATTCGGAGTCTTTCGAGGAGTTGCCAGAGAACATCTTCTGAAGTCTGGGAATGGAAACTTTTGGCGGTTAGTTTGTACTTACGCAAATTAGACTTTATTTTCTTATTCTCTTGTTTTCTTCTAATTCACAAGGAAAGGGTGAATTTCGTATATGCTTTGCAGTTTGGCTTTTTACTGATTTTTGGTTGTCATTTGCTAAAGATCCTAATTCTTTTTGCCTTCAGGATGGGGCAGGTCTGATAGGTCGCTATCGTCATGAAACTGTTGTGGTCGATGATGATATTCTTATAATTGGAGGTGGAAATACTCAGTGGGTAGCTGACTTGGATAAAGTATTTCGCCTTTATGTTTATTCTTACCAACTGTTTATGAAGTTTTTTCCTGCTTTTGATATTCTATTGATTAATTTTCTTTCTTGCAAGGTCGATAAAGCTGTTCTTCCAGATACCTGCGTTTGATACGCGAACGAACAGACTGAAGACCTATTTTACTTACCCAGATTCTGAACATGGTTACCCCATGGTTATTCTTCTTTTGCATTCTCTGTAGTCGTTTTAACGAATTGTCCTACAGTTGTCATAGAGTTTCAATTGATAACGAGTAATATTTAGGGTAGGATGTGCCATGCTTGCGTGCAGTACAATGGGAAAATTTATATCTTGGGTGGATGTAGCGCCGTTGACATGGAAACTGAAGTTTCTTGAATTGGCTTCTTTCATTTTTCTAATTAATTCTACTTAGAATTCAATCACTTCTATTTTAGTCTGCATCGTTGTTTGACGATGTATGGGAGTTAAACACTTCAAGTTGGAAATGGAAGAAATTACCCACGAGTTTAACATTAAAAATGTGCTTTCATGGTGCAACGGTAACAGAAGTTCGTTTCTTTCTAATTTTTTGCTTTCCAGTTTTTAACACTTTCTTGATATCAAATATGAACTCAATTTTCTGTTTTTTGTCACTTCAAAGATTCCCGTTTTTGATTTGATAGTGACTTTTGTGCTTAGTATTGGAAATTAAACCTGGTTGGTATTTAATTTTTTATAATTCCACTAAAATTATTGAAAGCTACTTGCAGGATGGTTGCATATATATTTTTGGAGGAGCTTTAGACGGTAAATTTAGGACTAGATGCAATTTGCTGCAACGTATGTGGCTTCAGCCTCCTTCCTTGCAGTATTTTGCTCAACGAGCAGTTTTGGCTTCTCTGCCTCGGCTTTTTGAAAAAATATTGGATAGCTTAACGTTGTCTGATCCTCAAAAACTGTTTAAGATCGCTTATGGATATCAAAATGATAAGGAACGCGAGTTTGGTTCTTTCTTTAATAATGTTTTATACTTTGGGCGAATTTTTTTTGGTAACAATGTTTAGTCATTGCATTTTAGCCAGGGTGTTGGTTTTACCTGGTTAGTAAAATCTTTTTCCAAGCAAAACAATACAGATTTATTACACTCAACTGTTTTCCTGTTGGCTAGGCTTCGAAATATGTGTAGTTCATACGCCTCAGCCATTTCCACATTTTTTTGTCAAAAAGGGGTAATGCAGAATTTGTAAGATGGCTTTCAGTGTTTCGTGGGAAAGGTAGATTGAGCAGTTCAGTAGGAGTTCATGCTGAATTGGATTTTTGTGAGAAGAAATTATTTTCTTGCAATATAAAAGTAGATATTAAACTTGACTGAGTAGGTGGTTGTCACTTTTTGAGTTAGTGCTAGAGTTTGAAGTTAACTGGCGCAAGACTTAAAGATCTGATTGATGTTTAATTGACTGACGCAATTTCCCTTTGCTCTACTTTTTCATTAGGAAAAGATGCTTTTTTCAGAGAAGTATTCCAAGCTTTGTGTCATTATATGTATCTGGCAGACATGATTTTTGATTAGTTTGATGACTGTGTAGAAGAAAAGCTATTGGTTTCCAGCTTTTCTTGTTAGGGAGAAGAGACCTGCGTAATTTTCCTTATATCTTTTTAAACTACATTTACATCTCCTTTTTGTGATTCTATATTCTTTTTTATTTTATACTCTGGCTTTTCTTCATTTTTAAATGTTTGTAGAATTTTTGACAGCATGATGTATGGGGATTTGGTTTTGATTAAACTTATAAAATTTAGTTTTACTTGAATATAGCTTAATTTTTCACAGTTTAGTAATTAACAAACTTTTTTTAAAGAATTATGTTAGGTTGATTCGGAAGTTTTTTGTATTTTACACTTTTATATTCTAAACCAGACTACACCAAAATAACTTTATCATAGATTAGCCATTATTATTCGTGGTCTTATACTACTTTTAGGGCAAATTTATATTTCGATTTTTACTGAAAAAACTCGAAGAACTGTTTAAAATGAAACTACCTGTGAAATTACTATTCAGCAAATTTTTCAAGCAGTTGACTTTTTATCGGTCTTGGTATTTGGCAGAACAATGATGCAAGGCTTGAAAAGTACAGCAGATGGCTAGTACCCCTAGTTGATCTTTAAGGAGCTCTTGGTTGTCATTAGCGTTATTGGTCAATTGTTTTTGTAGGAGAAATCGTGGTGCGTTTGATAGGAATTTTTCGCCAAATTTTCATTTCGTTTTCTCAATTGCATTACGTATTTATTAGCAATTATTGTTCCGTATTCATTCTGCAAACCCTGGTTCAGTTCAAGAAGCACGTTGCAGAGGCTTTTCGTTTCCGTCTCCGGAGCCTCATTTTGCTCTTTTTGGACCAACTGGTTGTTAATGTTCATCTCCTCTGAAAATATGCACGAAGCGCATGGTTTTAGTGGGCAACCTAGTTTGATATTTGTCGAAATATTTATCAAGCCAAAGTTAGTTCATTTGCATGGTTCAGTCCATCTTCTCGTCAGCATTGATTTGTTTGGCACGTAGTATCTCACACATGATTTTTTCCAAATCTTGCAAAGTGACTTAATTAGAGCGCATTGAAGAGGGTTTCAGATAGGTTTTGTTTGGTTTCGCAGAGAAAAAGTGGAAGCTTCATTGTTGTACAGTTTACTAACAAATAATTTAATTTTTATGGGTTAAACATATCTTCCTTCGCTTTTCCATTGTTTACAAAGCATTGTGAAGTGACTCAGAGACATAACCTTTAAATTCTTCATAGCAACTGATAAATATTAAATTAAAAATTCGCTTGGGGAAGTTTTTATGTAATTTTTTCATATGATATTTTTTTCTACTACCTTAATGCTCGTATAAATTTATAGAAGAATAGTAACTGAGATGTAACATAAATTTTTGATCTAGCTGATGATGAGTAGTTTTTTCGGTTTTTGAAAAGTTGAGTTTTCAAATCATTTTTAGATGATTTTTTTTTTTTCGAGCTTTTACTGTGGTGGAAGGCTTTGTTGTTTGTTGATGCTTAGTTTGTCCTTACTGCCTGTAGTATGACTGTGTGTTGCTCTCGGTGCATTATTTGATGGTAAAGATACGATGTTTTTGCTGTCATACTGGACTGCCGTTTAACAATTCATCTGCCTTTGATTTTCTGTATTAATTAGCTACTTTATTTTGAAGAATACTTTTAGTTTTTTCTTTCATAAATTGTGTACGAACCAGCTGATTTTGATAAAATCCTGGTAAATATTTGTTAACAAGCAGATATAAAAGTAATGTAGTTGACTGTTATTTGTAATTAATTTTGTGGAGTGGAATTGTTTGCTAAACAGTACAGCTTCAGTTCGGTGCTGACTATTTTTTTCCTGATGTGCTCTCCCAAAAATGGTAATGTTGGTTATATCATTTAGTACCAGTGTACGAGGAGCATAATAAAATTTTTGGGATGCTGCTTTTTTACAGTAGCTAGCTTAAGTTTTTTTACTGTTGTTTACTGTGATGGGGTACAGTAAACAGCTGCGAAGAATTGGAGTTAGACGGCGTGTCTATAGTATTGTTCCTGTAAAGTGAACGTGCGGCATGCGGAGTTCATGATGTGAGTGTTTCTCCTGAAAATTGAGAGATGACGGGTATGGATTTACTGCAGTGGAACGACGTATGATCCTAGTTCAGAAAAGGAAGGTAAGTGTTGTTTACCTGTTGTTGTGGCTTTCCAGTTGTCTACTAGGATGAAATTGACATTCCTTATATTTTCTCGTCATGCTTTTTTTTAGATGATTGTGTTGAGTTGATTGGAGTGAATTCGTTTTCGTACAAAGTGTTCAGATGTTCTGCAGACAGAATCCCAGCTTCTGTTGTGCCATATGGTGCTGAGTAACTTCGAGTTGGATAGGCCGGCGAGTTCCCTGGAATAAGGAAGGGATTATCACTGGCAAAAGACGGATCTTTTGTTTACTTATATTTAATCTGCAGTCAACTATGATTTCCTTAACCTAAGGATTTTTTGCTAACTCGTTTCTCGCAGTTAGTCTGGGAAAGAAAAAAGTGTGGTATTGTGCCTTAAGATTTTCTGAGTGTGAAGTTTCCTACCACTTTCGCTAGTATTCATTTCACCTCCGAGTTCATTTGGGAGATTCGGAGCGTTTGTTGGCTGTACGTTGTCTCTGTTTTGTGGCAGTCGTTCACTGAAGTCTTTTTATTGAAATTTCGTTGAGGTTGAATACGTCTTATTCACAAGGGGGAAAAATGGCAGTAACTTTAAAAAATTTCAAGTAGTTTGTTTAGTTTTTGTAAAAAGGAAATATATGGACTATTCAGCGGTCAAAGAGGAATTGGTACTTTTATTCGTTGTTTGGTTATGATGTTTTTCTGTAATAATTGAAAAATGACTGGTTACAAAAGGGTTATGAACTTTTTTTACCTTGTTGTAGAAGATATCCTAGACTTTCTTTGATAACTGGAAACCAGTGGGAAAATGTGAGATAGTTGAGAAAATTTTCTATTGCTGTTTTGAGGGATGTCGTTTGGCTTTTTTTCTATCATTTCTTCTCCTTTATCTCGCGACTTTAATCTAGAAATGTTTTTCAGGAAATATTTTTGAAAGTTATAGTTTATGGATTGTATTACAGTAGGAGAGTCATGTCTTTCACAAAATTCCCAACGGGAAAGAGGTAATCTTTTGTATAAGAATTAGCTTGCATCATTTGTACATTTTTTACTTAAGTCTCTTAAATCTTGATTTTTTTCAAGCCTTTGCTTCTACTACATACGATTGAATAAGAAACTTGAAGTACACCT